GTCCTGCGATGGCACATGGGTGGTTGGTACCACTTTTGAGGTGTTCCGTGCTTATCCGAATGGCATGCGTCCATGGTGGTGTGGAAAGAAGAAAATCGCGATCGTTTTCCGCGGAACGGTAAGGCACTGCGCAGCATCCTCTCAGCACTGAGCTTTTTTCAGATGAGTTCGATCGGCACGGGCTACGACCTCGCGGCGGCGACGTTCTCACCCGATGGGCGCATCTTCCAAGGTACCGTTTTTCGTTTATTCTCGTTTTGCCTTCGTTTCACTTCAACCCTCTCGCGAAATTCTCGAAACGCTGCTGCTTTCAACGCTATTTGTTGTCCTGTCGTTTCGTTAGTGCACAGAATGCCCAGCGGCACGGGCACTAGTGCTGCAAAAGTCCGGGTCTAAAGCTAAAACCAAAGTAAACTAAGGTTTAGAGTAATTCTTTAAGTAGTAGTGTGTTACAACTCTGTTCCTAGTTTTTGCATAGTCCCAAAGTAGGAGGGGACTCTCCGCCTGCCCCCGTTGCCCCTTTTCCTCTCCCTCCCCTCCTCCGTGTCCAGGAGTCGTCCCTGGATCCACATATGGGTTCTCAGCTGTGCAGCTGGCCAGCGCTGCATCGCCGGCTGGTCAGCCTGCTGATAGTCCTTACATTCGTTTCAGCTCCTGAGCGAGTTATGCCAGTTCAGCGGTTCCACGAGACCTCAAAAATTTAACCTTCAAAAGTCTGTTTGTTTTCAGTGGAATATGCGCAGAAGGCAGTGGATAATGGTGGTACGATGATTGCGATCCGAGGCAAGGATGGCGTTGTCACGGCGTTCGACAAGCTCGTAACGTCGAAATTGTACGTTGAGGTATCGTTTTTTAAAAATCAGTTTCTTTCTAATTACTGGTTATTGCAAATCCGCAGAGAAAAACGAAGTTGCTTAGGAATGAGCACTGCCCATAAACTTAAAGTTGCCAACAAGAAAAAAGCGACGATAAATCAGGAGCTGATGTGTATTGGCTTATCCCAGAATTTTAGCTGTTATGCAGGTTTTTATTTGAATTTTTTATTTGGAAGTTTCCGGTTTTTTTTATAGAAATTTTTTATAGGTTCCTTCTTACGTCAAAATGTTTTTCTTGATGAAAAATGCTCGTTTCTTTAAAATTTTGTTTCGGAACCATCCATCACGATCTTATTTTTCTGTAGTTAACAAATGATTAATTTCCGTTGTTTTGAAAAGGAGAAGCGAAAACTTGAAGTAAAATATGGTGGTAAGAATTAAGCGAGAATGAAGCATGTTCGATCAGAACATTTCTGTATTCGTTAACTTGTGTAGATTCTGTTCCAAAGCTGCAGTTGGGCCTCATCAGTAAAACAGCTGTAGCAAAGCCTAGCATTCTTTATCCTTGTCTTTTATACTCC